CTTCAACTGTCCAATTTTGGTGAGCTCTTGCAAATTGTAGCCTCTTTTTCCTATTTGTAGTGGAGATGAGTGGTACCCGGTGGAGTCTTCTGCTGTTGTAGCCCATCCGCCTCAAGGTTGTGCGTGTTGTGGCTTCACAAATGCTTTGCTGCATACCTCGGTTGTAACGAGTGGTTATTTCAGTCAAAGTTGCTCTTCTATCAGCCTGAATCAGTCGGCCCATTCTCCTCTGACCTCTAGCATCAACAAGGCATTTTCGCCCACAGGACTGCCGCATACTGGACGTTTTTCCCTTTTCACACCATTCTTTGTAAACCCTAGAAATGGTTGTGCGTGAAAATCCCAGTAACTGAGCAGATTGTGAAATACTCAGACCGGCCCGTCTGGCACCAACAACCATGCCACGCTCAAAATTGCTTAAATCACCTTTCTTTCCCATTCTGACATTCAGTTTGGAGTTCAGGAGATTGTCTTGACCAGGACCACACCCCTAAATGCATTGAAGCAACTGCCATGTGATTGGTTGATTAGATAATTGCATTACAGTTTTTCTCGATTGCTTAAACACATTTCTTGAAACTATGCCTCGTATTCTCAAAGCAGTAAACACAAATCCATAACGTCTCACCCAATTCCCCAAACATCCTATTTTCAGGTCAAAATGAAACTCTTCACTCAAAACCATTCACTCTTGCTGAAAAACCAAACTTTGCCCTCAGACAGGACACACAAGCCCTCAAAAATACACACACTACAACATAGTCTTGCACACTGGTGCTAAAAATTCAAAACATTTCCAAAACTGGTAATTCATGTTGCTTGTGGTCCAGCCCCCAGCCCCCCCAGCACATCTTTTTTTTTTTAATCTCTCCTACTCTTACGTGAGATGTGTGTAAGCATCATATGACAGTAAAAGAGCACACACAAACCTTATTCAAATATGGAATTGTATTGGAATGGTAAAGAGTGTTGGTACATGCCTCCACTCAAGGATACAATATGATGAACAAGTCTAAGAATGTTCCACATATGGTTGAAATACCATCATTGGCCTAGAAAGATAACATTCTGGGAGTCAAGACTATAAAGGAGAAAGGATGCCCTCCCTGTGCCCTGTCACACTCTGCAGCCGCTCTGTGTGACTGTACGACTGCTGGCCTTTTCTTGCAAGAACATAAACCTCATCAAAGACAATTGGAAATGTTTGTCTCTTATTCAGTGATAGAAATTTGTTTGCCACCACTCCTCCCTGAAGGTTCTGATGATGGAGGCGACGGTGAAGCGACTCAAATTTGGCTGTACTCGTTGCCCAGCCTCCCTCATAGTCATACCATGGACAAGGACATGGCCAACTAAAGTGGCTTGAATTTCATCCGAGACTGCTTGTCTTCTTGCCCTTGCCCTTCCTCCTCCTCCTCCTCCTCCTCCTCCTCCTCCTCCTCCTCCTCCTCCTCCTCCTCCTGTTCCTCTTCCTCCTCCTCTTCCTCCTCCTCCTGTTCCTCTTCCTCTCCCTCCTCCTCCTCCTCCTTCTCCTCCTCTTCCTCCTCCTGTTCCTCTTCCTCCTCCTCTTCCTCCTCCTCCTGTTCCTCTTCCTCTCCCTCCTCCTCCTCCTCCTCCTCCTTTTCCTCCTCCTCCTCTTCCTCTCCCTCCTCGACCTATTGCTTAATTTCTCTGTGGATCCATTGTTCCAAAACTCAGTAAACTGATTTTTATCTTTTATAAAAGATTGTATAACCTTTTATCTATCTATTGAAGGATCTGACTGATGTGTGTTCAATTTTGACTCTTAGTGTTTTCACCTGGGTAATTGTGTGCTAACTGAGCTGAAGCTGAGCTGACTTGAGTGAACAATATTGAATGCTAGTGCTTTCTAAATGACCACGTGGTGTAGGCAATGAGAAATGAAGGGATTTGTGTGTAGAGTTTTGCTGTGAGAGTTCAACAAATCTGACTAATGTGTCAAAACAGGGGAATAGTGTTCACAGTTCAGTGAAATGGGTGTGCTTTTTGATAAATGGCATTATGGTTTTGAAATTTTAGTTCAAAAGCCTGGTTATAGTGTTTAGGCAATCGAGAAAAACTGTAATGAGAATTGAACAGGTGTTCCTAATAATCCTTTAGGTGAGTGTATACTGTAATATATGTGTGTGTGTGTGTGTGCGTGTGTGTGTGTGTGTGTGTGTGTGTGTGTGTGTGTGTGTGTGTGTGTGTGTACACTGCCGTTCATAAGTTTGGGAAGATTTTTATTGTTTTTAAAAGAAGTCTCTTATGCTCACCAAGGCTGCATTTATTTAAAATAAGTGTTTTCTATTTGAATATATTTTAAAATATTTATATATTTTATTTTATTCCTGTGATCAAAGCTGATTTTCAGCATCATTACTCCAGTCTTCAGTGTCACATGATCCTTCAGAAATCACTCTATATGATGATTTGATGATCAAAAAACATTAATTATTATTATCAATGTTAAAAAAAATATTTTTCAGGATTCTTTGATGAACAGAGTTATATTTCATTCATTTGAAATAGAATCTTTTGTAACATTATAAATGTCTTAACTGTCACTTTTGATCAGATTTAATGCATCCTTGCTGAATAAAAGTATTGATTTATTTTACACCCCCCCCCCCCCCCCCCCCCCCCCCACCCCCAAAAAAAAAAAAATCTCACTGACCCCAAACCTTTGAACGGTAGTGTACATTTGTATATATATGTGTATACTGTATATACAATGTTTTAGTAAGGGTCGAAATGAACATTGACTAAGATTAATAAATGCTTTAGACGTATTTTTCATTAATAATGTTAACAAATGGAACCTTATCATAAAGTGTTACCAAAAATACATATTAATATACACTTCTTGTCTAAGAAAATGCCTGGTAATCATTTGCGTCCCGTCCATGTCAGACATCAAATGTGTCCACGAGGACATCATCGCTTTATGAACGGCATGATCCGCTCTTTCCGTTGCATAACAGCTCGATGTGAGATTAAAATGCTGAATCACTGAATCAAATGACCACACAACTCACAATCAACTTCGCAAATCCCTCGCTCTTCTCTTTCTTCGCTGAGCTGTTTATCGGACGCTTGTGTTCTGGTGAGGAGAGCGGAGGCTCAGTCCAGGTCTTGAACTTATGACTGCTTAAAAATTAATGTGCATAACTGCAATCTCTGGGGATAATCCCGTCTCGTAACCGTACCGAGTTTGGCCTCACATTATCAGATTAAAGTTTGGGCAAATTACCAGATGGGAAAAACACAGCTAGGCTACATACTTATAATATGATTCCAGTAGTGTCAAATTACAGTTTGTCAAGAAATATTATGCATCATCTGTTTTGTTTTTTTGGACAGAAATATAAGTCGTTTTGGAAAAAAATTGTAAACAAATTATCAAGTCTTACTCATGTTTGTTTAATAGAGCTTATAGTTTTATTTCTGTAACCCCTGTGAGAAAATAAATAAACTTCAGCATTTTAAAAATATTACTTATATCGTAAATAAATTACTTTAAATAATTTTTTTGAAGTGTGAACTGGATGTAATGTTTTCAGATGCTTAATTGGATGTTATTACAATTAAATGAATATATTATAGTTTAAAATTTACATTAAATGCATTTAGTTGCATTTAAAATGTATGACTAGTACATCTTTATATGTAATTTCATACTTCTGTTGTCTTTGAAGTATGTTTAACGTACAGCCGGATGTACTGATAAACATGGGCAACTATAATATACTTTAATATCATTTCAATATTAAAACTTGTATGTCATCATGTATTTGAATTGTATCGTGTTGCAATTTTATACATTTAAAATATATTAACTAATATAATAATCAAGATTATTGTTAATTAATAATCATGCACTTTACATTTGCTTTAGTATGCTAGTCAACACATCAAAATAAGTGTAACGCACAAAAGATTATAAAACAATTGCGGAAAATATACTTTAAAGTACAACTTTTAATTATTGCAAAGTGTGCTTAAGTGTGTTAAGAAACATTCATGAAGTGTTTTAAGATTTGAAGAGCGCATTCAGTACATGTGAGTGCACTTCTTTTCCACAAGGGATTTCTTAAAAACAGTAAAACGGAGGTAAAACGGTTGAAAATGTATGTCTTATATACTTATGTTATGAACGTCTTTTCCAACCCTAAAATCACCTTTGCAAAAGACTTAAACGCAGAAAATGTTGATTTTGTGGTATTAAAGTACACTACATGTTTAAATGTAATTGGCAAGTCCAGTTATTCTTGTAAAGTTATTCTACAAATATTAAAGCGGTGGAGCCCACACTGTAAAAAATAATTCTGTAAAAAAACGGATAATGTACTGGCAGAAAATTACCAGGACATTTACCGTTAAATGACGGACAGTTCCTTCAACTCTGAAACGGAAATTTCTGTATATTAACAGTACATTTTCTGTACTATTCACGGATTATCCTTATACAGAAATAGCAGTTCTTTTGGTAGCAAATAATTAAAGAATGATATATTCAAATTGAACATGGTTTATTTTTGTCAAAATTTTCATGTAAACATTCTTAAATGCATTCAATGGGTAAATATTTATTTATATAAATATTATATATATATATATATATATATATATATATATATAGATATATATATTGTTCCCACAATGCAACGCGTAATTCAAAATAGGGGTAAAAGACCTGTAAAAGTAAAATATGGAAAAATCCATTTACATTTATATGACACATTGTTTTACAGTGCAGAGACATATTGGGTCAAATCCCATAAACCGAGATATATTGGGCCCATTTAGGATGAATTAGAGTGGCAAATTTGAGCCGGACCGCATCGATGGATCGAGTGAATCCCTGCATCCATGTTGCAACATTAAGTGAAACACTTTCCCAAACAGCAGCAGCAAAATGACTGTTGATGGTTTTGAGATGGAAATGCACGTAAAGCTGTTGAAGCTCCACTAATGCCTGCGTTCTCGTTGGGTTTCAGCGCTACTTGTGGTTTGCGTTTCCCACGGAGGTGAAGCCACCCGATGATCTTCAGGATCTGGGAGTTCGGTTCCTCCAACCGTTCGTAAACCTGCTGTCGAAGAGCACGTACTGGTGGATGAACACCTTCATCACATCGGCACACCAGCGGCCCATCGACCTGAAGACCATCGGCAAGCTGCCCATCTCCATGAGGGCGCTCACCAACTACCAGCGGCTCCGCAAGGCCTTCGACGCGCAAGCCGTACGTTTTTCATCTTCATTTATATAGCGCTTTTAACAATGTAGATTGTTCCAAAGCTGCTTTACAGTGATAATAGAAAATTACAGTAACAGAGATTGTTTTGGCTTTATGACAGCTCTAGAATAAAGTTATTTTCCAGCTAAAGTTAGTTTTGATTGATTCACTTCAAACGCAAACTTTAAAAACGCGAACCTGTGAGAACGCTGATAGAAGAATCCGTAGAACATTAGGAGAATCACAAAGTTTCACTTTATTCTATTGAGACATTTATCATTTAACCAGGTAGATTTACTTTTAAATTGGAGTCAATTACAAATTGGAGTCCAAAATACAAAAACAAGTAACATAATCTTGATTACTCATTTTATGGTAATGAATTCTGACTACTTTTTGATTACTTTTTAGATTATTTTGGACCTGACTCGTTTATCGCATTGATTTGAACTATAGGGCTGTCAAACGATTAATCACGATTAATCGCATCCAAAATAAAAGTTTGTGTTTACATAATATATGTGTGTGTACTGTTTATAATTATTTTGTATATAAATGCACACACGTATATATTTAAGAAAAAATATGTTATTTATATATAAAATGTTTATATTTATATAAAATATACATTATATGTAGGCTACATTCAGTCTATATACATGCAAATATTTCTTAAATACACATGCATGTGTGGGTATTTATGTATTAAAAATAATTATACACAGTACACACACATATATTATGTAAACAAACTTTTATTTTGCATGCGATTAATCGCGATTAATCGTTTGACAGCCCTAATTTGAACATAATAATCTTGTACCATACCATATTGATATGAATATACAAAGAGAAAGAAAATATATCCCATTCAGAAAAAAATAACTTTGTTTTATTATTATTATTTCTTATTATTATTGACTTCATTTGATACTGACTTTATTATTAACTTAAAATAAAAGTGCTTGCTTCATGTAAATATATTAGGGCAAAGCTGACAAAAAAAAGTTAAATCCCTGCATTGCATATAAATATATAACATATGAAATCACGTGCATTTGTACATTTTAATGTGTTTGAAAGACAAAAGCCTTAGAGAGACAGTAATACACAGTTAAATGACTCACTGAGTGATAATTCAAATAATAATTAACAAGGCAAGTTCTTGAGTTCTTCAGGATGAATAGAAAGTTCAAAAGAAAAGAAAAGAAAAGAAAAATATATTTTTACTGTCACTTTTGATCAATTTAATGCATCCCTGAATATTTTTTTTTAAATATTTTCAAGACTTTTGAACTGTAGTGTACAACATTACAGGTGAAACTCGAAAAATTTGAATATCGTGGAAAAAGTTATAATTTTGATGATTATGTCTTACAGCTTATGAAAACCCCAAATTCAAAATCTCCGAAAATTAGAATATCACATGAAATCAATAAAAAAAAGGATTTTAAATACAGAAATGTCGGCCCTCTGAAAAGTATAATCACGCATATGTATATAGTTATATATACTAAATATATTAGATTCACCTTTTTATTTAAATAACTGAAATACATGAACTTTTGCACGATATTCAAATTTTTCGAGTTTCACCTGCATGTAGAAAATTGTGTCATACAACTGTATGTAGATATTCATAGTCGTCACGATCGTCATGTGAACTGTTTAGTAATCACTTTTAAAGTATGAGTTCGATGAATGAATAATACAGACATAATATTTATGATATCCCTCAAATGATATGTGCGCTGGTTCATTCAAGGCCAGTATAATCTGGATTTCAGGGAAAAGCTGCATGTACACAGACATTACATAAGTTTAAACAGCAGGATCTCTTTCTCTGCCAAAATCAGAGATCTGCAAACTTTCATTTTTTGCTTTTCTTTGTTGTTTTGTAGACGTGTACTTGTATAACCAGACTGCGTATGTCCCCAATACAGCAGGATTGCTTTTATCCCCTTTGTCCTGAAAAACAGACGGGACTTCAGAAACACTTCAGATTAAGCCGCTTATGTAAAACATGCTAGAAAATGTGTTTGGGTGTGGATTTTACATAATCTGTGCATCAGTTACTAAATGACCAGTTTAGAGGTTATTAAAATTAAATATTACGCGAATCTCATAATCTGCGTCTGTCATCACCGCTGGGTCGTCTGTCGTCTCTTTACACACACTTCTAGCCAAAATAACTTTGAATTGGGTTACTTTGCCCAAATAACTTGCGAGATGTATGATATTCCATCAAGAAAGTGATTAAAAGGGGTTTGGTTTTATTTCTTCACTCATTTCATTTCTTTGTGATCTAATTGATGACTAGTCTATTCTTGGGCGATGGTTAGACGTCTATTAAATATTCACTGACAGCCAAAGTTTTGCCTTGTTTTAGCCTAGACGCCAGGGCTGTGTTCGGACGGCTATTAGACGTCTTTTAAGCGTAAGATTGCTTGCTGGGAATCTGCGTCTGTCATCCCCGCTGGTTCATCGCTCATCTGTTTGTCTCGGTGTGTGTGCAGGAGGACGGGCCCGTCCCGCTGAAGGGCTCGAGGTGGATCTGGCGTTCCCTTCGGCTGGCGTTCGGCAGACCTCTGGTGCTCAGCATCACCTTCCGCTTCATGGCGGATCTGCTGGGCTTCGCCGGGCCGCTCTGCATCTCGGGGATCGTTCACCACATCAGCAGTGACAATCACAGCGCTCTGCCTCCGGTACCAATGCAAATATTACTGTACTTACAGTGGCCCCAACAGGTGTTTGGACAGTCAGACCGCACTTGGTCCTCTCAGTCCGAAATTCTCGTCCGAAATTTGTGCACGTTAAAAAATAAATGCGACCGACCTCACGTTGTGTCAATCACGTTTACGCACTGCCTCCGAAACTTTCATACGTCATAAAAAAATTTGGGTCGGGTTCGATTTTCTGTGTTTTTTGCATCCGTAGCGAGCATTTTGAAAGCATTTTGTTTTGACATTTCAGAGCCACCAAATGACGAAAACGAAAAAACGCATACGAGAACTTCGGACTCAGTGTGAGAGGACCTTTAAAAATCGCCTAGACGTCATTTCATTCCATAACTAAACATCAAATCAAGGGGCGTCCAATTATTGATGTCCAACCCATGTTTGATTTGAGAGCTGCATGAAACTGGAATAAAGTTCATGAGTAAAACTGACTACTTGTTTAGTGCTTTTCCATCCTTTTCAGATGGAACACTTTACAATGTCTGAAGGCCTTTCCGAAATTCGCGTCCGAAATTTTTGCACGTTAAAAAATAAATACAACCTCACGTTATGTCAATCAAACTTGCACACTTTCGTCCGTCATAAAAAAAATCGAATTGGGTTCGATTTTCTGCGTTTTTCGCATCCGAAGCAAGCAGTTTGAATGGCGTTTTGACAATGCAGAGCCACCGAATCACGAATACGAAAAAAACGCATACGAAAATGTCGGACTCAGTGTGCAAGGGCCTTAAGGCTCTATTAGTTAACAAACTCTCTGAGGGTTTGGCAAGGTGATGGATATGGAAATGTGGATATGTTTGGTCTTGGCGAATAGATCTGCTACGCTGCTTCTGTTATATAACATACATGAAAAGACCCATATCAGATCTATACAGGTGGAGCTGGGGACGTGGAGGGTTTCTGAAAAACTGCTTACAGCAAACATAGAACCGATTTATTAGTTAAGCGGCAAGCTCATTGTCCAATCAGCTCGAGCCGTGTTAGATGATGTCATTGTGTTCAGATCAGCCTGCGCCATCTAGAGTCTCATGACTGAACTATATATTCAACTACATTAGTTAACGTGAACTTATAATGAACAAATATTTTTATTTTTATTTACAAAGCATTTATTAATCTCAGTTAATGTTAATAAATTAATTAATGTTAACAAAGATAAATAAATAGCCTACTTTAACAAATGTATTGCTTATTGTTAAAGCATTTACTAATGTTAAGTAATGGGACCTTATTGTAACGTGTTAAAAAGAGCTGCATAAATACAGGTGAACACTATCATGCAAAAGTTCATGAATTTTAGTAATTCAACTTAAAAGGTGAAACTAATATATTATATAGACTCATTACATACAAAGTGAGATATTTCAAGGCTTTACTTGTTATAATTGTGATGATTATGGCTTACAGCTTATGAAAACCCAATTCAAAATTAGAATATTGTGAAAAGGTTTTCATATCTGTAAGCCATAATCATCACAATTATAACAAATAAAGGCTTGAAATATCTCACTTTGCATGTAATGAGTCTATATAATATATTAGTTTCACCTTTTAAGTTGAATTACTGAAATAAATGAACTTTTGCACCATATTCAAATTTTTCGAATTTCACCTGTATTCTTTAAAATGTTTGATTTTTGTGTTTCACTTGAAAAAAAACATTTTTTTATGTGTGGCTTCATTGTCCAAGTAACCTTACAAAGTTGGACCATGATATGTTTAAAGACCTATTTGCATTTTAAAATAATTTGGAATACATTTTCTGCCCCTTTCCAGTATTTATGTATTTTCTGGAGAGCAACAAGAAAGCATTATAGCGTTAGTAAGTTCCAGTGCAACATCTGGCGCTGTTCTGTGACATCTGTGTCCCTGAAACACCAGCGTTTAGTGTGTAGTGTCCATGTTCCTGACACACACTCAGGACAATTGCTTTGCGTTTCAGTTCAGTATACTTGTGTGCCGCTGCATAATATTTGTCACTTGATATGCAAATGCTTTATGGAAAACCTGATTTTTTTTTTATGCATATTATTTTAAAACAAGTTCACGTTATTTTCTTCTGAAATGTTTTGTTGCTAATTTGTAGGTGCACAATTTCTCTTGCTAAAAAGTCATGATTCTCTATTTTTACACGAGGAAGATGATGTAATGTTTATCTCATCACATGATCAGTTTGAACACACTGAAGTGGCTTCGAGAGCACAGAAATGGCTTTGATAGCTTTGAGATGGCTGAGGCATATTGCATGCTATTAGATGACTGTGTGCTCTTGAGCTTTAATGAATATGGGGAGTTTTGCATTCAAATCACATTATTTTCCCCATATTCTCCATTGTTGCTGCTCGTCTCTTCCCAGTCTGTCAGTAAAGCTCTGGTGTGTGTTTCCCGTACAGTGCCGTAACTCTCTGCTTCACTACAATAGTGTGATGCACCGTTGAAGAAATCCACTAGCTCGTCACGACTGTTTCCCCAAACCGTATTGCCGCAAACTGGTCGTTCAACCACATTAGTTAATGATCACAGGTTTTGGAGTAATAACTTATTTTAATGAATCTGTTTGAGATCGAATTAACGCTAGATCCTTTGCTATAAATCACAGACATGCATCTGAGGAATATTTCTAATTTTTCTCAGTTATTTTGCTTAATTTCCAGATTCACTCATAGTCTCGTTCTCACGCACTAGAGCTCGTTCACACATGCGCACTCATTAAAAATAACGCTTTAAATCTCTTGACAAACTAAAAGTCGTAAATGACATTTGTATGTGTTCTAAATAAAAGACACAGGTTGCACTGAATGTCAGTTTGCTTATTTTGCTCAAGATCAGGATTTATTGAGTCCACATGTCAGGTAAACTAGAGACTCTGCTTCTAACCACAGGTCGAGATCTGTCGCTCACACACACACCTCTGCGATGCTGTTTGCGAATGTTCGCTGGAACGATGGTTTCGGGAAACACCGACTCGCTGAACTGATGATAACGACGGAACTTGCGACCAAAGTTGGCTAACGATGCTTTTCGGAAACACACACCAGTTTACTTCCTGTCTCTATGAAGCCCCTCCTTCTGAAAAGCACACTGTTCTCTGATTGGTCGGCTGGAGCAGTGACTTGTGATTGGTCGAGCACTTCGAGTGTGTTTGGGAATGTCCCGCCCCTTTCCATAACCGCCAGTTTAACACACTACTAACTAACTCAACCAGGCCCCGCCCCTTTATTCTGCGTATGGATTATTATAATGAGGAATATTGTGACGTGTTCGTTCCCGGGAGAAACTCAAGACTACAATGGAGGCGTTTCAGGAGTTCAGAAACACTGACGCTGATATAGAGAAGAACTGGAGCTTTGCAGAGCTTTTTCATGCTCAAATGGCAACATTAAAGAAATGAGGTGAAATATCAAGATTCACCCATTGGTCAATATTTTACACACACACACACACACACACACACACACACACACACTCTTTTTCACTCTCTGTGTCTTTATAGGTGAAGCTGCTTGGCGTGCACTTCATCTCCTCGGAGGCGTTCCTGGCGAATGCGTATGTTCTCGCTGTTCTGCTGTTTCTGGCCCTGTTGCTGCAGAGGACTTTCCTACAGGCCTCGTATTATGTGGCCATTGAGACCGGGATAAAACTCAGAGGAGCCATTCAGGTATGATTAATAAACCCTGCCTGTCAGTAAACTCTAGCATGAAACAGAAGTTGCGCGAGTCTTTTCTTCCCAATTGTGCCGAATATCCGAGTGAAACGCTTCTGGAACAAGAACAAATGTGGGCGGGGCTTGATTGTGTCTGTGGGGAATTGATTGGATGATTGGATGGTTGTGGTTTGCTATTGGCTGATCTCATGTGAGTGACAGGTCGTTTTGATTAAAACTATAATGATGTGCACTGATAAATCATTTAGTATAAACACTGCAATATTCCATAAAAAAACAACAACAAGTGTCCGTTTTGATTTCATGGTGACTTTAATTGGTTAGATGAAGATTAACGCCAATCCTTTGATCTTTTTCTGGTAACATTTCGTCATTGTTCTTTTTCCCACAGACTAAGATTTACAATAAGATCATGCGCCTGTGCACTTCTAACATGTCTATGGGTGACATGACCACGGCCCAGATCTGCAGTCTCGTGGCCCGTGACACCAACCACCTCATGTGGTTCTTCTTCCTCTGTCCCAACCTGTGGGCCATGCCGGTTCAGGTTAGCATCAGGGATTGAAAGCGTCATGAATACATGAATGCATTGTAAATTCTGCTGAATTATGTCATGTGCAGATTGTCATTGGTGTGCTACTCCTCTACTATCTGCTGGGAGTGAGCGCTCTGATCGGGGCGACTGTTATCGTGGCGTTGGCTCCGCTGCAGTACTTCGTAGCCACTCGGCTCTCACGCGCGCAGAAGAGCACTCTGGTGAGCAGATCAGTCATAGATACTAGCCGCGTGTCCATTACCCTTCACATTGCGCGAATTGAAATTGCGAATTGAAAATACGCCCAAAGGAAACCCGCCAATTTCGCGAAAACTCCCATATATCGCAAAAGTGTTTGGTAACACTTTACTTGAAGGGGTGTGCATAAGACTGACATGACACCTTCATAACCATGACATGACATATGTCATGAATATGAAGTAGGGTTTATGCATGTTTATGACAACTGTCATTAAGTGTCATTCGCTCAATTATGACATTTTTAATGCAAATATGACATTGTTTGAGATGTCTTTGTTATGACAACTTGACATTACCAAGACAACATAAATTGTCATAATCATGAGTAATTATCAAACTTAAGAAACCACTTAGCTTTATGGGTTAACATTACATTAAACTGTCATGTGGTTGGTTTTGACATTGGCTGTCAAAAGCCATTATAACTGTGTCGTGAATATTTTTCGTGACCTCAACTACAGTGGCACAAATTGAATTTGTCATTAAAATGTTATAATGGCCTCATGACAGCCAATGTCAAAACCAACCACCTGACAGTTTAATGTAATGTTAACCCATAAAGCTAAGTGGTTTGATAATTAATCTGCTATGTCATGTTTATGACAGGTTGTGTTGTCTTAGTAATGTCAAGTTGTCATTACCAAGACACTGACAGGTTATGATGTATTGGTTATGTCAAGTTGTCATAACAAACACATCTCAAACAATGTCATATTTGCATTAAAAATGTCATAATTGAGCGAATGACACTTAATGACAGTTGTCATAAACATGCATAAACCCTCCTTCATATTCATGACATGTGTTATGTCATGATTATGAAGGTGTCGTGTCAGTCTTATGCACACCCCTTCAAGTAAAGTGTTACCAAACGTTTTTTCCGCTCGCGTGAGGAGGTTTTTCAGGCGATTCGAAAAAGGAATATTTAGCAAAACTGCAATTGAAACAGTTTTTACGCATTTACAGGTCACATGACGCGGTGTGTTTGGACAGAAGCTTTTATTAAAAGCAAAAAAGACAAAAGTATTACAGGAATACTGGATTCTAAACAACAAAGAAATGCCACAATTTATTACGACCCTGAGGCAGAAATGAGGGAGAAACCCCCAGAAACTCTTCATACGAGCCGCTCACACTCTTTCCTCGCTATTAATGCTTGGATAACACACACGTCTCCGTCCATTAATAATAATGGCTAGTGCGGTCGCTGGAATACACGTAAACCTACTGTACCAACATCCATTGCCATGATTTTTGGAATGACTTATCGCAAGAGAAAAAAATTCAGATTTAGTCGCATAACATCGGTTAATGGAAACGCCGTCATTTCGCAATAGTTCTTTATCGACATTTAGAAAATATCGCAGAAGTTTTGCGCAGATCTGTAATGGAAACGCAGCTACTGTCAATAAATATAGTAACCCTGTAAAGCTTGACATTTAAAATAATAGTCCCATATTTCTTTAAAAAATTGATTCATTTATTTAAAGAAAGTTTGCATATGTGTTGAGTATCATATTTGATGCAAAAGGCTTTTCATAATTTATATAGTATAGTGAGAATATGGAGCTCAAACTGGAGCAAATGGAGCAACAATATGCAATTTGGTGCAGATGCTGATATTTATATGGACAAAAAGTGATGCAATTCTGATGCTTGTAATGTAAATCAGTGAGATCTTTATCATGTAGCAGACTATAAACATAAAATGCATATAAATATCAGCCGTATTATATATCTGCCAATAATATGTCTTGATAAAATGTTAGTTTTATGATCAAAGCTCTGTAGTTTTAAAACATATAATACAAGGCAATACAATAATGATAGAGATATGAACAAATAAACCATCATATTTGATATTAATTTTTCTAAAAAAAAAAAGAAATATATATATGATAATAAAGTTACTTGCTAAAAATGTCTAAACTATCAATCAGACGACAGAAGGCATGGAGTAGATTGTGTGCGACAGGTTTATCAGCAAATGTTTGATTATGTTGATAATTTAGAGGCCTTTTATTTATCAAATATGATACAGTAGCCTTCATAAAGTTATAAATAGAATAGAAAGCTTATACTGTACATCAGCATGAGTGTGTTGTAATATCAGTCAGCACTGTGGGACTGTAATGCTTGGAGTGCGCAGTGATGTCATCGTGCAGTGTGTGTGTGTGTTACAGGAATACACCAGTGAGAGACTGAAGAAAACCAACGAGCTTCTGAGGGGGATCAAGCTCCTGAAGCTCTACGCGTGGGAACACATCTTCAGATCCAGCGTTGAGGAAACACGCAGACAAGAGCTGAGCAACCTCCGGACGTTTGCTCTCTACACGTCCCTCTCCAGTGAGCCTCGAAGCACAGCCATACGCTTCACATGCTGATTATTAAATATAGTAGGGTGTGAAATGCTAACTTTGATAATTTAATATATCATCATGTAAAATGCAAAGTTATATTATTAAATATTAAATATTTTATGATGTGACATGCAAACGTAGATTAAATATATTACGATGTCAAATGCAAACTTGGATTATTAAGATGTAAAATGTGAATTTAATAAGTATATTATAAAATGAAACATTAAAAAAATCAAATAAAATTACAAAAGCCAAAAAATTACAAAAATAAAATTCAATATTTAAGATAAAAAACATCCTTTTAAAAATTTTAATTTACAAAATTATAAATATATTTTAGAATATAATTTGTATGCGACTTGGACATTCATCCATTAAAAATGCAATTATTTCTTTTAATTTCTATCCTCAGTCTTCATGAATGCCGCCATCCCGATCGCTGCTGTTCTCACAGTGAGTCTGGGCCTGCTCTTCTTTATACGAGTGCATTCATTCCCTCTCTCTCTCTTATGTAACGCTCTCTCACAGCTCAGTTCTTTCACTAATGCTGGTTTATAGAAGCTCTTGACAGTGGGAGAACAGTATTTGAACGCACGTGTTCTCCTGCACAGATCTTTGCGGTGCACGTGCGAGTTCACAGTGTCTCCGACTCGGATCTGTCTCCCGCTGTGGCCTTCGGGTCCCTGTCGCTCTTCCATATACTGGTGACGCCGCTGTTCCTGCTCTCCAGTGTCCTGCACTCCACAGTTAAAGCCCTCGTCAGGTGATCTTCATCATCATCCTCCTCATCATCATCTTCATCCTCATCATCCTCATCATCATCCTCATCTTACATATCCTGGTGACGCCGCTGTTCCTGCTCTCCAGTGTCCTGCACTCCACAGTTAAAGCCCTCGTCAGGTGATCTTCATCATCATCCTCCTCATCATCATCTTCATCCTCATCATCCTCATCATCATCCTCATCTTACATATCCTGGTGACGCCGCTGTTCCTGCTCTCCAGTGTCCTGCACTCCACAGTTAAAGCCCTCGTCAGGTGATCTTCATCATCTTCATCATCATCATCCTCATCTTCATCCTCATCTTCCATATACCTGTTCCTGCTCTCCAGTGTCCTGCACTCCACTGTCAAACCTCTCGTCAGGTGATCTTCATCATCATCTTCATCATCATTCTCCTCATTTTCATCATCATCTTCATCTTCATCCTCATCTTCCACATACTGGTAACGCCCCTGTTCCTGCTCTCCACAGTCAAAGCCCTTGTCAGGTGATCTTCATCCTCATCATCATCATACTCTTCATCATCATCCTCATTTTCATCCTCATCTTCCATATACTGGTGTTCATCTTCCATATACCTGTTCCTGCTCTCCAGTGTCCTGCACTCCACTCTCAAAGCTCTCGTCAGGTGATCTTCATCATCATCTTCATCATCATCATCATTCTCCTCATCTTCATCATCATCTTCATCTTCATCTTCCATATACTGGTGACGCCCCTATTCCTGCTCTCCACAGCCCTTCTCAGATGATCTTCATCCTCATCCTCATCTTCATCATCATAATCTTCATCATCATCTTCATCTTCATGTTTCTGCCATTCATGCACTTCAATAACCAATGCTTCCTGTCATTATTTATTTTTGTATACACATTTAACCTAAAAAATGCCTCTTGTTTTACTTCTTCTCAGTGTGCAGAAACTGAGTGAATTTCTTGGCAGTGCAGAGATCGAAACTGACCAGGATCCCATCGCCCAAAGTCCAGCGAACAACAACGGCAACATTAAGTCTGTCGTGAGTATGCACAAAAGCATATATTTTAAGGAAAGAATACATTTTATTTGAAAGTGAACTATTTTTAAGCAAACATATTTGGATTGTTTCAAAGGCATCGATACTCAACAACACTAGGGCTGCACGATTCATCGGAAATAAAACCGAAATTACAATATGGCTGTGATTTAATTTAATAAATATGTGCATTGCATGTTTCAGGGTGAAACTCGGCACTGTGTTGATTTACACGAGCATCACATGATCCGGTCACTTTAACGGGCGTTTGGGAATTAAACGTGCCTGAATCCGTTCTGCAGTGCATTCATGAAGTGTCTTTGTTCTGTTCCCTCAGTATGCATTACAGCTCCAGGCCAAACTAGTGAATCGTAAGAATAAATCCAAACAAGACGTGAACAGGAACTTTGAGCATCAAGACCAGAAACTGACAGAATCAGCGGCTCCGGAGGACGAAGTGTGTATTAAGGTGAGATTCATGTGATGCATATTTTATTGAATGACAGTGACAATGATCGTTTCTTTGCCTGATACTGTTGATGTTGAGGTTTTGATACTCCATCACAACTACATTTTGCATGGTAGCACTTTACAATCAGGTTCATTAGTAAACATTAGTTAATGTATTAACTAATATGCACTAACAATAAGCAATACATTTGTTACAGTATTTATTCATCTTTGTAAATAGATTGTTAGTGTTACTGTTAGTTAATAAAGTTAATTAGTTAAATATACAGCTATTCATTGTTTGTTCATGTTAGTTCACAGTGCATTAACTAATGTTAACATATACAACCTTTGATTTTAATAACGTATTAGTAAAACATTTGAAATTAATATTAACTAAGACTAATAAATGTCTTAGATGTAGATGTAGATGTAATGTTCATTCTTAGTTCATGTTAACTAATGTATTTATAAACGAATTAACCTTATTGTAAAGTTTTACCATTAGCTTTAACAAGAACGTTATTGTGTTTCTGTTTCAGATTATAAACGGCTACTTCACATGGACACAGGGATGCCCGACTCTCACCAATATTGACATCAAGGTTCCCTTCGGTGAGGATCTGTCGTGCTGTTACTGTAGTGTTGTACTCGCGTGTTTAACAGGACGAGTAACAGTTACTGTAGTGTTGTACTCGCGTGTTTAACAGGATGAGTAACAGTTACTGTAGTGTTGTACTCGCGTGTTTAACAGGACGAGTAACAGTTACTGTAGTGTTGTACTCGCGTGTTTAACAGGACGAGTAACAGTTACTGTAGTGTTGTACTCGCGTGTTTAACAGGACGAGTAACAGTTACTGTAGTGTTGTACTCGCGTGTTTAACAGGACGAGTAACAGTTACTGTAGTGTTGTACTCGCGTGTTTAACGGGACGAGTAAGAGTTACTGTAGTGTTGTACTCGCGTGTTTAACAGGACGAGTAACAGTTACTGTAGTGTTGTACTCGCGTGTTTAACAGGATGAGTAACGGTTACTGTAGTGTTGTACTCGCGTGTTTAACAGGACGAGTAACAGTTACTGTAGTGTTGTACTCGCGTGTTTAACAGGACGAGTAACAGTTACTGTAGTGTTGTACTCGCGTGTTTAACAGGACGAGTAACAGTTACTGTAGTGTTGTACTCGCGTGTTTAACGGGACGAGTAAGAGTTACTGTAGTGTTGTACTCGCGTGTTTAACGGGACGAGTAAGAGTTACTGTAGTGTTGTACTCGCGTGTTTAACGGGACGAGTAACAGTTACTGTAGTGTTGTACTCGCGTGTTTAACAGGGCGAGTAACAGTTACTGTAGTGTTGTACTCGCGTGTTTAACGGGAAGAGTAACAGTTACTGTAGTGTTGTACTCGCGTGTTTAACTGGACGAGTAACAGTTACTGTAGTGTTGTACTCGCGTGTTTAACAGGACGAGTAACAGTTACTGTAGTGTTGTACTCGCGTGTTTAACTGGACGAGTAAGAGTTACTGTAGTGTTGTACTCGCGTGTTTAACAGGACGGGTAACAGTTACTGTAGTGTTGTACTCGCGTGTTTAACGGGAAGGGTAACAGTTACTGTAGTGTTGTACTCGCGTGTTTAACTGGACGAGTAAGAGTTACTGTAGTGTTGTACTCGCGTGTTTACAGGACGAGTAACAGTTACTGTAGTGTTGTACTCGCGTGTTTAACGGGACGAGTAACAGTTACTGTAGTGTTGTACTCGCGTGTTTAACAGGACGGGTAACAGTTACTGTAGTGTTGTACTCGCGTGTTTAACAGGACGGGTAACAGTTACTGTAGTGTTGTACTCGCGTGTTTAACGGGACGAGTAAGAGTTACTGTAGTGTTGTACTCGCGTGTTTAACTGGACGAGTAACGGTTACTGTAGTGTTGTACTCGCGTGTTTAACGGGACGAGTAACAGTTACTGTAGTGTTGTACTCGCGTGTTTAACGGGACGAGTAAGAGTTACTGTAGTGTTGTACTCGCGTGTTTAACGGGACGAGTAACAGTTACTGTAGTGTTGTACTCGTGTGTTTAACGGGACGAGTAACAGTTACTGTAGTGTTGTACTCGCGTGTTTAACAGGACGGGTAACAGTTACTGTAGTGTTGTACTCGCGTGTTTAACAGGAAGAGTAACAGTTACTGTAGTGTTGTACTCGCGTGTTTAACAGGACAAGTAACAGTTACTGTAGTGTTGTACTCGCGTGTTTAACAGGACGAGTAACAGTTACTGTAGTGTTGTACTCGCGTGTTTAACAGGACGAGTAACAGTTACTGTAGTGTTGTGCTCGCGTGTTTAACAGGACGAGTAACAGTTACTGTAGTGTTGTACTCGCGTGTTTAACAGGACGAGTAACAGTTACTGTAGTGTTGTACTCGCGTGTTTAACAGGACGAGTAACAGTTACTGTAGTGTTGTGCTCGCGTGTTTAACAGGACGAGTAACAGTTACTGTAGTGTTGTACTCGCGTGTTTAACAGGACGAGTAACAGTTACTGTAGTGTTGTGCTCTTGTGTTTAACAGGACGAGTAACGGTTACTGTAGTGTTGTGCTCGTGTGTTTAACAGGACGAGTAACAGTTACTGTAGTGTTGTACTCGCGTGTTTAACAGGACGAGTAACGGTTACTGTAGTGTTGTACTTGTGTGTTAACAGGACGAGTAACAGTTACTGTAGTGTTGTACTCGCGTGTTTAACAGGACGAGTAACAGTTACTGTAGTGTTGTACTCGCGTGTTTAACGGGACGAGTAACAGTTACTGTAGTGTTGTACTCGCGTGTTTAACAGGACGAGTAACTGTTACTGTAGTGTTGTACTCGCGTGTTTAACAGGACGAGTAACAGTTACTGTAGTGTTGTACTCGCGTGTTTAACAGGACGAGTAACAGTTACTGTAGTGTTGTACTCGTGTGTTTAACTGGACGAGTAACGGTTACTGTAGTGTTGTACTCGTGTGTTTAACAGGACGAGTAACAGTTACTGTAGTGTTGTACTCGCGTGTTTAACGGGACGAGTAACAGTTACTGTAGTGTTGTACTCGCGTGTTTAACAGGACGAGTAACAGTTACTGTAGTGTTGTGCTCGCGTGTTTAACAGGACGAGTAACAGTTACTGTAGTGTTGTGCTCGCGTGTTTAACAGGACGAGTAACAGTTACTGTAGTGTTGTACTCGCGTGTTTAACAGGACGAGTAACAGTTACTGTAGTGTTGTACTCGTGTGTTTAACAGGACGAGTAACGGTTACTGTAGTGTTGTGCTCGTGTGTTTAACAGGACGAGTAACAGTTACTGTAGTGTTGTACTCGCGTGTTTAACAGGACGAGTAACAGTTACTGTAGTGTTGTGCTCGCGTGTTTAACAGGACGAGTAATGGTTACTGTAGTGTTGTACTCGCGTGTTTAACAGGACGAGTAACAGTTACTGTAGTGTTGTACTCGCGTGTTTAACAGGACGAGTAACAGTTACTGTAGTGTTGTACTCGCGTGTTTAACGGGACGAGTAACAGTTACTGTAGTGTTGTACTCGCGTGTTTAACAGGACGAGTAACAGTTACTGTAGTGTTGTACTCGCGTGTTTAACGGGACGAGTAACAGTTACTGTAGTGTTGTACTCGCGTGTTTAACAGGACGAGTAACAGTTACTGTAGTGTTGTACTCGCGTGTTTAACAGGACGAGTAACAGTTACTGTAGTGTTGTACTCGCGTGTTTAACAGGACGAGTAACAGTTACTGTAGTGTTGTACTCGCGTGTTTAACAGGACGAGTAACAGTTACTGTAGTGTTGTACTCGCGTGTTTAACAGGACGAGTAACAGTTACTGTAGTGTTGTACTCGCGTGTTTAACAGGACGAGTAACAGTTACTGTAGTGTTGTACTCGCGTGTTTAACAGGACGAGTAACAGTTACTGTAGTGTTGTACTCGCGTGTTTAACGGGACGAGTAAGAGTTACTGTAGTGTTGTACTCGCGTGTTTAACAGGACGAGTAACAGTTACTGTAGTGTTGTACTCGCGTGTTTAACAGGATGAGTAACGGTTACTGTAGTGTTGTACTCGCGTGTTTAACAGGACGAGTAACAGTTACTGTAGTGTTGTACTCGCGTGTTTAACAGGACGAGTAACAGTTACTGTAGTGTTGTACTCGCGTGTTTAACAGGACGAGTAACAGTTACTGTAGTGTTGTACTCGCGTGTTTAACGGGACGAGTAAGAGTTACTGTAGTGTTGTACTCGCGTGTTTAACGGGACGAGTAAGAGTTACTGTAGTGTTGTACTCGCGTGTTTAACGGGACGAGTAACAGTTACTGTAGTGTTGTACTCGCGTGTTTAACAGGACGAGTAACAGTTACTGTAGTGTTGTACTCGCGTGTTTAACGGGAAGAGTAACAGTTACTGTAGTGTTGTACTCGCGTGTTTAACTGGACGAGTAAGAGTTACTGTAGTGTTGTACTCGCGTGTTTAACAGGACGGGTAACAGTTACTGTAGTGTTGTACTCGCGTGTTTAACGGGAAGGGTAACAGTTACTGTAGTGTTGTACTCGCGTGTTTAACTGGACGAGTAAGAGTTACTGTAGTGTTGTACTCGCGTGTTTACAGGACGAGTAACAGTTACTGTAGTGTTGTACTCGCGTGTTTAACGGGACGAGTAACAGTTACTGTAGTGTTGTACTCGCGTGTTTAACAGGACGGGTAACAGTTACTGTAGTGTTGTACTCGCGTGTTTAACAGGACGGGTAACAGTTACTGTAGTGTTGTACTCGCGTGTTTAACGGGACGAGTAAGAGTTACTGTAGTGTTGTACTCGCGTGTTTAACTGGACGAGTAACGGTTACTGTAGTGTTGTACTCGCGTGTTTAACGGGACGAGTAACAGTTACTGTAGTGTTGTACTCGCGTGTTTAACGGGACGAGTAAGAGTTACTGTAGTGTTGTACTCGCGTGTTTAACGGGACGAGTAACAGTTACTGTAGTGTTGTACTCGTGTGTTTAACGGGACGAGTAACAGTTACTGTAGTGTTGAACTCGCGTGTTTAACAGGACGGGTAACAGTTACTGTAGTGTTGTACTCGCGTGTTTAACAGGAAGAGTAACAGTTACTGTAGTGTTGTACTCGCGTGTTTAACAGGACAAGTAACAGTTACTGTAGTGTTGTACTCGCGTGTTTAACAGGACGAGTAACAGTTACTGTAGTGTTGTACTCGCGTGTTTAACAGGACGAGTAACAGTTACTGTAGTGTTGTGCTCGCGTGTTTAACAGGACGAGTAACAGTTACTGTAGTGTTGTACTCGCGTGTTTAACAGGACGAGTAACAGTTACTGTAGTGTTGTACTCGCGTGTTTAACAGGACGAGTAACAGTTACTGTAGTGTTGTGCTCGCGTGTTTAACAGGACGAGTAACAGTTACTGTAGTGTTGTACTCGCGTGTTTAACAGGACGAGTAACAGTTACTGTAGTGTTGTGCTCTTGTGTTTAACAGGACGAGTAACGGTTACTGTAGTGTTGTGCTCGTGTGTTTAACAGGACGAGTAACAGTTACTGTAGTGTTGTACTCGCGTGTTTAACAGGACGAGTAACGGTTACTGTAGTGT